GAGCCGCAGCTGGGGCGAGCTGGCAGCACCGGGGGAACAGCGTGGGGAGGCCCCAGCCTCTCCCCTCAGGGGGGGAAGGTGCCAGAAACCAGAGGCCAGCGGCGGTCCCATTACTCGGGCCGGGCTTGCAGGGGTTGTGCCAGCAAACCCCAGCACGGGCAGGTGGCCAGCAGCAGCCTCAGCTCAGGGCACGGACCTCCAGGGGCACGTGGGTCCAGAGAGGCCTGGGTGACGCTCCTGGGGATGGCGTTGAAAGCAGCTCCGGAGGCCTACCTCTGCCATGGCCCCGCTCTCCTGCAGGAACAGGGCGGGCAGAGTGTGGCCTGTTCACAGCTCTGGGGCACTGGGGCCCAGAACAACCCCGCAGCAACACTGGCTCCTCTCGAGCTTGGACAGGGCAAAGCCTGCTGGCACCAGGGCAAAGCTGGTGCTCAGCAACACCACAGCCCCTTTTCTCTTTCAATTTTTCAGTTTGCTCTGAACCAGAATCACTTCCTTGTAGATCCGGTGCAGCCTTGGCCAGATTGGTGTATCTGTGTGTTGTTGCAAGTGCCTTTACCAGAAGGACAGTTACAAGGGGAGTCGTGCGGCCTGGAGGAGGGGATGGCAACAGGGAGAAAAGCAACAGCTCCTAGGAACATTCCTCTTCTCCGCATGGCTGTATTTAGGTACACAGAGGAAGCCTGCAACTCGGCTCTGCTGGGAAAGCCTAGGTTCCCTCAGCCACCATCACCAAGAGCTCGGATGTTGCTCTCCCAGGAGCACTGGGTTACTGTGAGAAGCATATGACATTAGCTTGCCTTGTTCACAGAAAGCACTGAACAGGTCAGCAGATAAACCACGGCGTCTGCCACAATGGTACCCCACCAGAGCAACCATCCTCCATGCCACAGGGTTTTATTGGGATCAATAGTGAGGAGCCAAGACATATTTGCGATCATAAAGCACCTGTGTAATTAGATACCTGTGCAGCCAAAGTGTCTGGAGGAAAAGGGACAGCCTTTTTTCTCATCCTAAAGCAACATATCTGCTGCCACCAGAGACAGGGCAGCAGCCCCACCAGTCCCCCCATCAGTCAGGTACTCCCAGCACAGAGGCCAGGACTGAATGCTGACACAGTCCTGCATCAGCAGAGTGCAGCACACTTGGCTCTAGAAGATTCGTGCAGTGCAAAGGTGAATAAACACACACTAAGGAAATACCATAATAAATATATTTATTTACATGGTTTCCTCCCTCCCTCCTTGCCACAAAGGGCTGAGAAGGCAGACACACATATAGAAGAGGAGGAAAAAGCCAGTACACCCCAACAGTGTAAAGACAGTGCCCATCTCTCTCAAGGAAGAGCCTAGTCCCCCCCAGTTCTCTTCCTTCCCCACTTTGAGATTTATGGAACCACATGTTAACTCCCAACAGTCCTTCATTGTCCCAGTTATGACCAAGGAGTTCCCACGGCCCATGCAAATCCACAAGGTTCCCCATTATCCATCCCTTACTTGGCAGGGGGGTTCTCTCCAGCAGAGGAGCAGGGGATGGCAGAGTCAGCCTCTGGCAAATGCCCCTTGCTTTTCCCAAATTCAATCACCAGCGGCTTCCCCTGCAGATTGTACCCGTTCACCAACAGCATGGCGTCCTGGGCCAACTGAGTATCTGCAACAAGAGAGCAAAATGGGTACAGGTTACACGGCAAGTTCTGGCACAGACACACGTGGTGTTCACACAGATGTTCCTGGCTCACAGACCCTTAGCCTGCACCACGATCCAGTGTGGCACTGGGATCCTCCAGCCAGAGTGCTGTGCTGAATATAAATACGGCACGTAACACACTGCATCCCTTCTGTTTTGATGGATCTTCTTCCAGTCCAGGGAGAAGACCATGACATGATAGGAAGAAGAGGGAATGAACTCCCCTTCTTCTCCTTGGAGAGCAGCTTGGCACCAGCCCAGTGCCCTGCAGGAAGATGTGGCACCTTCATGGGTCAGGGAAGAACTGAGAGGCACGAGGCAGCGACTCACCAGGGAAGGTGATGAAAGCCTGACCCCTCATCCGGCCACTCAGGAGGCGGAACTGGATCGGTGGGCTGTCTTCCTTCTGGAACCGAGCAAACAAGGATACTAGGTCCTTCATCATCACTCGAGGGCCCAGGTTCTTCAAATACAACACCTGTTCCAGAGCAACAGAGGGTCAGCTGGCCTGTGCCATGCAAACAGACACCTTTCAACCTGGTCCCAAGTCCATACACCTCAAAGGTATGAATGAGTTCAGTCCCTCTGCCATCCCACAGTCCTTCTCCCACACGGTGGAGTTTGGAAGACAGGTGGGCGTACAGAGAAAGGCAGCTCTGGACTCAAGGCATCATCATGCTTGCCTGTGCCAAGTGCTGATAGCTCCAGTTATTTATAAAACACAACAAGCTCCAGCTACCAGTTAAGCACAGTTGAGTAAAATCACAGCTAGTCTCAGTCAGGCTGAAACAGGGAGAGGGCATCTTGACTAGTGACCTGCCAGAGCCAGGAAGGGCTGGGGTCTGAAGTACAGCTCTTTGCCAGGTCGGGCGACTTCCCAATAGATCCAAAGGTCCCCTTCCCTCCCAGAGTGGAGGCTGCTCCCACTTGGCCGGGAGGATCAACCAAGCACCCTCCAGGCAACAGCCAGTCCATAGCAAAGAGGAGCTTTTGCCTGCTGAAGCAGCTTCAGGGCATGCTAGTGAGGAAGAAGAATAAATCCTGGTTCACCTCAACATACCTTGTTGGGCTCCCCAGGATGGTAGGATGAGAACCTGGGTATATTCCGGAGTTCTTCCTCTGAGAGACGGTTCTTGCAGATCTCCTCTTCAGGGACAAACTCTACAGGCTCTTTGATAATCACAAGCCTTGGAGGGGACTGGTGGGGCATTGTTGCAGGAAGGCTGGGACTTCTTGCCTGTTCTGCCTGCTTTTCCTGGTCTGGAAGTGATGACTCCTCAGCCACAGGCCCCTGCAGGGCCAGGGAAGGGCACAAGCATGGGTCACTCTTGGTAGGCTGGACTTCTTCAGGCCACTTCTTGCTCAGCAGCTCTTGGTAAACACTCTCCAGATGAACCATGGGGTCCTTTTCATCTGTTACCCTCTTCTGAGTGTCATCTAATCCACAACGGAGAAACATGGTAATGTGACTACCACCAAGAACCTGGAAAATGCACAGATTGCAGGAAAAGACACAGACAGGAGAAACCCTGTTCCGACCCAGCCTCCACGCATCTGCCAGGCAGGCCCTGCAGGTTATTTAAAACAAGAAGAGTAGCCCCAGCAGCCAGCAAGTGCTGATGTCCCAGCTCAAGATGAACATGCACAGAGCAGCAGCTCCACCAGTGCTCTGTACAGAGCTCATTTCTTCCAGAGATGTCCTCACTAGCTTATCTGCAGCCACATTTCAGCACATTCTAGTGACTCCTTCAACACACCTTTCTCCTCCTGCATGCATGGCCAGGATGTGCCATGCTGCCTTTCTACACTGCTACACGGAATATAAACTTTTTGCTTCCAGGAACATCAGATTAAGCTCCTGGGTTTAAAGACCGTCCTTGGGATGGACTGACCAATGATATCTCCTTTACTCTATTTAATGGAAATAAGGACAGAAGTGAGAGGGGCATCTCCCAGCTTACAAGCCTCAACCTTGCTGCCTCTTGGGTTTGCTAAAGGCTGTAACACTGACACCAAAGGAGGGAGCAGGGCCCAGAGGACGCTGAGTCAGCTGGACATTATAGCTTGAACAGCATCAACACTGATCACAGTGGCGTTTTCAGAGTTAGGAGTTGGAGTTTAGAAGTTCCTCCTCATCTTCTATTTAATAGTCTTACATACAAAAATCAGTCTGGGCTGGGGCTTCATGCCCGCATGTTCTCCAGCTAAAGCAGATTGGAGCAGTTTTTGCCATCTCTGGACAACACTTGACTCTCCATCCAGAAAAATCACATTAAGCCAGAGGCTTGGGGACTATGCTGCTGGGGTGAGAAGTGCTGTCATTCCATGGACACGGTACTGGGAATCAGCAGCTGGGCTCCATTTCCACTTCGGCTACTTGGTGGGACCTTTAACAAGTCACTCCTACTCCTTCCTGCTCTGTGCCTTTGCTTCCCTCCCACCCTTGTCAGATTGCAGTTAAATCAGAGAAGGGATGACCTCTAGCCCCCCACAGGCACCTCATGTCACTCAGTGCAGCTCGGTGGGGACCTCTGGGCTCTACCAAAGCATAACCCTGGCTGCTCTTCCAACATAACAAGCTGGGCTCTGCAGTACATGCAGCACGTCAATGAGATCCATGCTCTCCAAACAGAGATGGACTTTACAAGCCTATTAAAGCCTTACAAGACTCTACAAGCCTATTAAACCCTTCAGAGCCCACTCTCTATCTGCTCATGTAAGAGAGCAAAACATCTCCTCCCACACAGTGCCAAAACGGAATCACGTCTTCAGGGACAGAAGGCCAGACAGAAATGTGTTGGACTCCCACACACCCCAGCTCTCCGTGCTGGAGCAAAGGCAGGAACAGCCTTGAGCCCACAAACCTTGGTGGTAGAGCGCCCGGAGGAAGGAGTGGCGGTCTGTCCCCTGAAAGAGGGCGTTTTCAATTTCCATCTCCCGCCGGCTCAGCTGCTTGCTGCCAGCAAACCTCTGGGGCA